CTGAACACATAGAGCGCGTCAGACTGCAAGCAACATCTGTCAAATATTAAAATACACACGTTCTTAAGATCATAGTTATTTAGACAGCTGCATGACTACTCGACTGCAGGCCATCAGCTCTCGCTCTTACTAACTTCCAAATATACGTAAATTTGCCGACGAGAGTAGAGAGGAGTGATGCCACTAATATGTAATATGTATAATTATTCAACGCTCTAACAAACCTGACGTTATGTTACAAATAAAAGCTTAAAATAGCTCTGTTATATCATTTGTAGTAACAATTTATAATTTAAAACAAATAAATTTACCTGTTTACTTATTTTTTGCATACAAAATTTCACTTGAACAAAATATTAAAATTTCATTGAAGTGAAAGGTATTAGAAGGCCACACGAAATTGTGTACATGCAAAATGGACAGGTGTGTTGTGTTGTGTACATGCCGGCCAATGTTATGTCGCTGGCTTCTTACAAATGTGGATTCAGGACGCCATTTACGGGGTATCTCGACAGGATAAAATCTATGTCTTACTAACCGTATTGCCGTGCCTATTACCTGTGGAGACTCCACATTGCTTATTGCTTACAATATATGGAATACTAATTAGTTTGCTATATATTGTAAGAAATAAGCTGTCACTTCAGCAGTTTGACGGCGCAGTTTTAATTTCTATGAAAATTTCGAAGAGGCAACATATCCCATTTGCACATATGCCAACGGCATTTTCATTTCGGTAATATGAAATTTAGAAGAGTGATTATTAAGATGGTTGTGTTATGTTATAAAAATAAAGTACATTTTCAAAATAACATTATTCCAAAAAATTAATATTTATTTTAATAATTAATTTATAGAAAAATTATGCAAATTGGGTTGGGAATGACCGAAGTCTTAAATTTAATAAACTTATACAAACATAAATCAAAATATCTTTGCTCATTTTAAATTTATTATTTTAATTGGTATATTTATGTCACAATCATTATATAGTAGTCCATAAATATGAATTCTCTTTTTTCCAGAAATACGTTTGTGGAAAAAAGGATCTTTCTCCTATGTTATCTTATTTTTCCCAGAAATACATTTGTAAAAAAAAGGATCGTAACCCTTGCGATAAAAAAAAAGAATCGTAATCCTTTTTTTATTTTCCTTATAAAAGCTACATCAGCTACTTACCCGACGGAATTTCGCAATTTCAAGAGCTCAAAGCATGTGCTACATCAGCTCGAACCTACCTACCCTGCGCCTTTGCGCAAATGGTTAAGTCAAGATAACAAATGCCCAGATACAGATTTGGCAATGGCAATAGCAATAGATTTGACAGTTAGTAAGACATAGATTTTATCCTGTCGAGATGCGCCGTTAGAGTTCACTGTCGTGCTGCCATGTCGTGTCGCACTCTGTGTTCAGCACTTCACTCTGGTGCCAAAAATTTACCTCTGCAAATAGTTGTCGCCTAACTAGCATTCGATGAGGAGTAGTGCCGGCGGCATTGGTAGAACACCTTTCATCGTTAATATATGTGATCTTAGTTTTAAACGCTTTAGGAATGACCGATGTGTGTTAAAATGTTAATTATCTGACTTTCAATAACCCTATGAGTTTGGGTATTACATTCGTTAGCTTGTGCTTCTTCACTCCTCATACGACCATGATAACTGCCGAAGTTCAGAGCTGTAACCAAATATTCAAGCCGCTGGCTAGCAGATTAAAAAAAAGAAAAAGAGAAAGAAACGTTGTGGACAACAAACAAGACAATCGGTGGTCCTGCTTTAAAATACGGGGCACTGACTAATGGTCGCTTGGATGTAGTAAAACGCAGACTAAGAATCTTCACGTGCTTCAAAATACATACTCCACTCCGAGTTATTATAGGGTGACCGCATGTTTTTTGTCAAGACACATATTGAGCTCTTATTAATATGTCCACCAAAATTTGGTAGCAAATAACGTACCATTCACAGTGGAGCCATTAACACCTTAACAGACTCGCTCTCAGTGAAGTACTTGAGAGTCGAAACACCACCAATTGCAGACAAAGAGCTCGAGTTGCCAAGAGAATCTAGAGTAACCCTTGCGATACTTCATTTTAGATATCACTGCAAGCTGAACTCCTAATTACCCAGAGTCGACTCCGACATACTAACTTTAAACCAATCTCGTTATAGTAATGATTATTAAACATTATGTTATTATAATCAAAAACATTTTATAATAACTATAAGTAAATTTCTCAGCGACATATACATAATGCAGATATTAAAAAGAAAACAATTTTGTTAAATGATTCTTCTCAATTCTTCCTTCCGAATTTCGATGTATATATGGAACAATTTTAAAAATATCAGGGCACATATGTGGAGGCAACCATTGAGAACAAAATAGCTTAATATTGGCAAGATCCTGAGTTGATTCTTGTTTAATAACACATACAGCGCAAATATTCATAATCCAGAGTGGGTGACGAACAGCTACAACTGCAACATCTTTTATTTTATAGTGAGTTTTTAATAATGTTTCTATTTCATCACTTGAAATACTTCGTCCAGCCCTTTTAAAAACTATGCTATCAGCACGCCCCAGCAACCTAAGGGTATTATTTTCAAATTCCACAATAATACCTGTTTTATAAAAATTGTTTTCAAAACATATTGTAGTATCATCTTGATGCAGGTATCCTTTGAAAATAGTTTGCCCCGATACATGAAGTTCTCCTAAAAAATTGTCATATCTGGTGTTGAAAGATACAATTTGTGCAACATTACCAACCCCTCCATTTTCTGAATTTCCAATTGCAGCTGCAAGTATTGTTTTATCTTTAAAATTTACAATACGAATCATAGTTTGAGGAAACGGTACATTAAAAGAGTTTTGCTTCCGCTTCCGCCTTTCATCTTCAGTATATGGATTACCTAAAATTGCACCGGTTTCCGGTGTTTCATAATAACGGAGAAGTTTGTGTCCTGTTAATTTATACCAATAATAGAAAATGTTCATTGGTAAGGGAGTTGATCCAGATATCATTAGTCGAATATTAAGCTGACAATAGTTTTTAATATATTCAACCATGCTGGGATTATTAGAAAATGCTTTGGCATATACTTTGAGGATTTTGGTATATGTTGAAGGTAATGCCGTCAGCATATTGGGCTTATCCTTTATTGGCATATTTATACCCAGTATTTTATTCCATATTTTGTCGTAATTGGTATTATAGCCTAAATCAATTTTTCCACCAACACTTAGCAAACACATCATAGAATGTACGCTATAATAATTGAATTCTACCGGCAACAAGTTTAGCAAAACATCACTTGATTTATAATCCCATGCTTCTGATGTTCCCTTTATTCTTAAGAGGAGGTTTTTATGTGTTATTCGACATCCTTTTGGTTTTTTAGCTGCACTGTTATTATAAACCAACATTGCAACAGAACAAGAATAGAAGTCGTTATTTAAAGTACCTTCTATAAAAATATTACTCCCGACCGTAAGTAAAGTCTTTTCCAAAAAATTCTGATTTATGCTATGTTCTGGTACAAAATGGTAATCAATAATAATTAGTGGTATATCAAACATTGTAGCAAGCTTCTTAGCTATTTTTTCATATAGTTGTCCAGAAATTATTATTTTTGATTTGGAATCACCAATAATAAAACTTAATGTTTCAAATGGAATTTTATGTAGAAGTGGCATAAAAACTTGTCCAGACATCCAACAGCCCCATTGCGTTAATGGTAATAAAGCGTTATTTTCACAAAAAACTGCAACATTACATGATGCACCACTACCTTGGAATGAGAGCAATAGATTAACACATATTTTGCTAACATATTGTACCATAAATTGGATTATACATTACATATAATTATATAATCACATATTACCGTTATTAACGTACCACATATGTTGGATATTTGAATGGATAACTTTTTTGAGCCTAAATATAGTTGTTGGTAAGAATATTCAGTAGTATTACTTTTAATAGCAATATGATCTGCATGTAACAACACTTTTTTAAAAATAGGTACCGCCCCACCATTTTCTTCTTCCTTTCTAAAATGTTCTCTCAAATGTGCAAGGTGTTCAAAAATCTGAGAAAAGAATACAATTCATTTTAAAATGCTCTTAACATATTGCGATCAGTATCATAGTTTTGTTAATTACGTTGTGTGTAAAAGGTTTAAAAATGTCGACAGAAGATCAACGGTCTGTTTAAGAAACAAAAATTGGAAAGATGGTTAAAACACGTTCGATAAAGCCTAATTTAAGTTCATTAAAAGATATACCAACTACTAAGCAAAATTGTCAAAATGATAAAGCGGATTATAATAACAGTTAGAAAAACGAATGATCGTATCACGGCTCACAACTCAATAAATTTCTGTCTGTATCTACAGCAAAAACAACATTTTCTTTTATTAGTCTTTAGTACACTTTTTCAAACTATCTTTTAACCAAGAAGTTGTACCTTTGAACTCCCAAACATCAATTAACAAAAAGGTTTAGGGATAATTAAAATGAATTTTCTTAACTTATTTCCAATTGAATAAGTATTTAATTTCCTTGCACACATTTGTGGAAAACGCCTTTACACTCAGTTTATTTAACCTTTTCGTCTATGTGCGTTTTAACTCTTCATTTTACAATTGTATTATGTATAGGTTTAAGCTTTAGAAATGCATCAAGACTTGTGAACCGAATATAATTTAATTTTTAAGGCACTTCATTTATTAATTCTAAAAACTAACTATGACGACGGCCAAATTTAAAGTCAAGAAACCGATTAAAGTCCTACCTTTATATTTGTTGAAATGTTTTTTATCACTGTTAGTCGAGAATATATATATTTGAACGCAATCGAACTTTTGTTTGCAAGCATTATTAAAAATTTGAAGTAAAATTCATAAGTTCCTTCTTCTTTGGTTTATATAGGATCGAACAGTGTGAAATAAAAATACAAAGTATTCTAATGTAAATATTTTAACAATTGTATACACAGTTTATACTAATATATTTTTATTATAATATTTCCAGATAACTTCCAAAGAAATGCTTAGATTCTTTAAGTTTTTATTCCACTTCCTGTAAAATTTTGAGAATGCACAGACTATATTTTCAGTAGAAAAAATTAAATTTTAGATAGTACGAAAATATCCATGTAAGTATTTCTACTAGGTCATAACTCTGTAACTGTGTATATTTAAAAATTAAGAAGTATTGGATACTAACTATGATTGAAATAATTGGTTATTTCATTCCTAATTTATTTATTTGTGGCTTCTCTGATTTGATAAAAACGCCAAGTGACCTTTAGGGCACTTATTTGCGTAGTGCCCTTTATTTCCGCATTTGTAGCAAGTGATTTCATCTAAAGGCTTTGGCACTTTTGTAAAGTTATTGCTCGACGACACCTGCTCAGTTCCGTTTTTACCTTCTGTGTTTTCTTTAAAACTGTACGCTTGATTTTGTTTTTGGAAGCCATTAAATTTGAAACGGTTCTCACTACTTTCGTTAGCATCAGGATTTTTTTTACACGCCGAAGCTTTATGTCCTAGCTCTCCACAAAAGTGGCAAGTTGGCACCTTTTTAAGCAAAATTTCTTTTGTCGTGTCTGAAATTGGTGGCAGCTCGAATCGGGGATGCATAAATTTACAATTCCAACCATTTTCACAAAAGCCGGCCAAGTAATTACTACAAAGCACACGACGTACATGACGATGTCTGCAATGCGGACCGTGTCTACAAAACCCCCGATCATACCATGGACAATCTTTTACTTTGCTTTCCGGATCGATATGAAGGAAGGGGCATTCCTTATTATGACACGCATTAAATCGAGAGTAAAAGTAACATTCTGGCATTTTTTTCATATCATATTCATGTAAAAATTCGCATTGATCTCCTTTTTTACATAATCCTCTTAGCCAGTGCTTGCACACTATAGTTCTATCTCCTCTAATATGACGGAAGGGGCAGGATGAGCCTTTCTCACACTCCAAACCATTTTGGGTACTCACAAATTGACAAACGGCAGCCATCGATTCTAAAAAAATAAAGATTTATTTAGTTGACACTTATGATTTAATTCTTTACTTACTGTCCATTCCGAAGAATGGTAAAGCGACGGCACCAATTTGTTCAATCAAATCTCGTTCAATTTTAAAATCTATGTTATTAACATTTGCGAGTAAAATTTCCATTTTCGCAATTGAATATTTAGGTAGACCTACAATGAAATAAACATCTTTCACTGAATAAGATGCCACTAAGTAGTAATAGAATTTTTTCTCGAAATAATGCTACCATATGACTATAACTATTACGACAAATAATACGTATATGAATTTAAAACTACGTTATTTCAATAAAATTTTATAGATTTACGGGAAGAAGGCTAAAACCTGCTTATTTATATTTCGCTGATAAACAATCTTGTAATTACTTTAGTCAAGCTTATTTTTATTTAAGGAGAAAACGTTACCTCAAGTCACCCTGTGAAATGTTCCTAAAAGTGGTTATGCTCTCTATTTGTTACCGTGCAAATCACAAAAGCTCCTTCCAAACATTTCCTTGAGTATAGTTCATGCACTTTGCAAAAGTTGAAAGCGAGTTTACTCGAAGAAAGTGCTTTTTTTTTGCTACATTTCAATATTTTATTTATTTTATTTTTACAAATTGTGATTTCTTCTTAATGTCAGTAGATTTGGAAAACAATTTGTGCAAAAATGTCTGTACATTATAAATTCAAAAGTGCGCTAGACTTTGACACCGTCACATTTGACGGTCTTAATATTTCAGTTGGAGATCTAAAAAAGGCTATAATACATCAAAAGCGTTTGGGAAAAGTGACAGATTTTGATCTACAAATAACAAATGCTCAAACTAAAGAAGGTTTGTATTCTAATATCTGGATGTGTTAATCAAGTATTGCTACACAATAAAATATTTTGAAAAATTCATAAAGTAGATTTATATATTTATGGAATTGCTTGTTCCTAATAGTTGGCGTTGTATACTGGTTACATCAGATAACGATATATCAACATTCACTGAAAAACTACTTATTAACCATAAAAATTAACTCAATAAATAATCGGTCGTATATACTTTAAATTATGAATGGCCTGTAAAAAAAGTACGCGAGAGTTTGAACCAGCTAAAATTATTATGTTCACTGAAAAATCTTCCGCATTAGTAGGTCGTATTAGCCTTTTCACTGCCATATAAATTTTATGTAGGAAAAAAATTTGATTTACTGTTTATAGACTTTATACCTAAATAATTAATTTCAATTTCTTTTAGAATACCAAGATGATTCTGCTTTAATCCCTAAGAACACATCACTTATTATCGCGAGAATTCCAATATCTCAACCAAAAAAAGCGTGGAATACCCAAAGTATAGAAAAAACACCGCAATCTCGAGCAATTTCTCGAGATGCAAATTCTTTAGACTTGTCAAAAATGAAAGGCAGTGAAGAAGAAAAAATTTTTGAAATGATGCTTCAAAGTACCGCAGATTACGACCCAAAAAGGTAAGATTATGATATTCTTTACATTCTTTCGTTATGTTGTTTCTTTAAATTAAATACTACATAGTATAAACTCGTTTATTATACCCTAATTTTTTAGGGTCTGTCCATCTGTCGTTATAACATATTCGCATATTATTTCTATAAATTTTTGAGATATCGACCTGAAATTTTGCACACGTCTTTTTCTCCTCAAGAAATAACTAATTTGTCGGGACCGTTCATATCAAACCACTATAGCTTTTAGCTGACGTGACATTGAACGGTAAAAATCAAGTTCTTGGTCAGAAATCAACTTCGCCAAATTTCGAATGGTTTATTATATATTAGTGCTATAATCCATACAAACAACGATCAAAATGAAGTTTTTTTATGAAAACTTTTTGCTATCGAAGTTAACAAACTTTCTTTTTTTCACATTGATATATTTACTATTTATACTTAAATTAAATTATTTTGCAGTTATCATAGAATAAGAGGACACTCTCAAATTGGTGATGTTCCGCCTACATACCGATGTAACAGATGCAAAAAAACGGGGCACTGGATAAAAAATTGCCCTTACACTTTAGGCAAGGAACATAGTGACATCAAAAGAAATACGGGCATACCAAGATCGTTTCTTGATAAGTAAGCAATAAGATATCTCACTATGGAATTATAGTTATAGTTTATATTCAACAACTGTTTTATGGTTCATCTTTTGGAACAAAGAGTGTATAATCAGTTTTAATGCCATAACATGTATCATCGAATATACTATTTTTTTGAAGAAAATTAATGGACAGCAATTATTTGGACTTGTCTCGGAAAAAGTATAATTGCGGTGGCCATCACAGTTTAAAACGGTAGATCTGCCCCGGTAACACTGGTATTCAATATTTCAATATTTCACTTTTTTGCTAACGCTTTGAACAATATTTTTGTGAAAAATCGGTTAAAGTTTTGAAATAAAAAATATTGTCTGAACCACCGGTCTTTAAGTTAAGCTCATCATAATATAACAACTCGTTTCTTACATATTTGGTTAGTTGGTTCGAGAACAACCTTCATTGTATATATGTATATCTGAATATCTATATAATCTTATGCATATGTCCTATTACTTGTTCATATTAATTATTTATTTCTAAATACTAAAAGTTGTTTTCTTTGTTTCTAAAATCATTTCAGAGAAACATCTGCCGATTTCCCAGAGACGAAAGTCTCAATTGAGAAAAAAAAGGAAATACCGGATGACTTAATATGCAGTATCTGTAAAGACCTCTTTGTTGATGCTGTTATGATTCCTTGTTGTGGGAGTTCATTTTGTGATGACTGTAAGATAATAAATAAATAGTATAATTTATTCTACAAATATTAATTTTTTTTAGGTGTACGCAGTGCACTGCTCGAATCTGAAGACAATGAGTGCCCCGATTGTAAGGAAAAAGGATGCTCACCAGGTTCATTGATTCCAAATCGTTTTTTACGAAATTCAGTAAATGCGTTTAAAAATGAAAATGGCTATACCAATATGAAATCCAAGAAAGGTATTTTTTTTTACAAAATAAAAACAATTGTAAAAAACAATTATCGATTCGTTTTTTTTTTTTTCTTGTAGAAAAATCTATTAATCCTGAAGAGATTACATCAACGAAGGTAAAAGTTATTGCTGCTGATATTAACAAGTTGGACGAAGAGCAAACCGAAGTGGCCACTCCAAAGGAAACCCTCAAAACTGACGATGGGTCGCAAGCTAAAGTTGTTGAAAACAGTTCAAAGACTGAGACAACCAAAGCTGAAGAGGTGGAGTCAGATTATGAGGATAACATCACTATAATGATGCCTCCAGTGCAGGTTAAGAACTTAAATTCGGGAGCAATTGAACTTAGTGGGCGTAGTGTTAGTCATCCAAAACCCCCGGGTATAGAAAACTCACCACATCAAAAGCTGCAGGTAACTCTTTATCTAATTTCGATACATACCTTATGTACAAACGTATTTTGAAGTTGCAAAACAAATTTTCTGGGTTACCCTATAACACTAATTTCAAAGGAGGTGAACGCCAGGATGCGATTCAAGATAATCGATTTGAAACATATATAGTACATATAAAACATATTTAATGAATAGTAAAGTATGTATGTACATATATTGCAATTAAATTGTAATATAAAAAACATACACCATACATAATATTTATTTAATATTTAAATAATATATTTAGGTTCTTAAGTTTTAGTGCAATAGTTGCAACAAAAAGGAGTAACAATTTCACAAAGCTTTCTTATATAATGCTTGAACTGGATTTGTTGCACGAATTAGTTACACATATTTTAATAAATTACTTCTAATTAATTTCTATATATAGCAAAACACACTAAAAGTAATACATATTCTTATAGTAATATTCCTCAACAATAAAATAGAATATTTCATAAATAATACACAAATTTATTATTAAAAAAATCTGTATTGGTATAGTTTGTATGTAACACCCATAGAATTTCCGGATTTGCATGCACATAAATATTTACTTTCGAGTCCTTGATTACAAATATGTATAACAAATTATTTTTGATTTAAGGGTTTATKTTTTTAATGTAAATAAAATCAAACACAATCAGTATGTGTACAATAATAAAGTTACTAGATGTGAAGCTATTAGTATCATACCTAAGCCTTTATGTTTAATCTAATTTTAATTAAATAAAATATTAATGTTTTCAATTGACAGAAGATGACCATCCGCTATACTGTAAATATGAATTATCAATTCTTTGGCTTATTATAATAAATTAATAACAACTAGTGAATAGTGTATTTATTAATGTTTATCAGCAAATCAGAACGTTTATTTTATTTATTGAAAATCTTGATGAGTACAAAAAACAGTTTATGAAATATAAGACTCTTATAATTTGATTCGATTAATTGCACGCCCACATTCTTTGTTAAATTGAGGCTTATGATAGATGAAATGTGTTATTGATTAAAGCACTTTTCTAAGCAGATCGACAGGTACATGAACAGAACAAAAATATTTYTTGTAATTTTGTCAATACATTTCTATTAAAGAAAGAACACAATCCAAAAATTTCAATGATATAGAACGATTCCACTATAACTAGAAGTTGCTCATGTTCAGCACTGCGGAGTATATTGAAATTATATATTAAAATGTAAATTCTGCCAAAAAACCATCGGAGACATTGTTTTATTGTATTGGTTATTTGTCATAATATAATCGGTGAAAATTCACTCCATATGCTAAAAATAGATAAAAATACATCATCCAGCAAGACTGACATAACCGTTAAAAAAATGAACGAGATGTGGTACAGCTGCGGGACACACCCATAGTGGTATAAATTAATTTCTTGGTTTTTCTAATAAGTTAAAAATTTATTAAAAAAAAAAAAATAAACCAAAAATATGTCCATATATACTCATTTATTAATAGAAATAATTATAACATCGCTTTTATTTCTAGGTATCCCCTTCAGATAGCCATAAGAGAGATAATCACCTTGGCTTAGATACTGAAAGTAAAGAATGGGATCAAGATTACAAATTAGAAAGGGATTATGCAGAAGAAGATGCGAATGGTAACGTCTTTTATAAGAATTCTACAACGAAGCAGATTACGCAACCTATAAATGCACCACTGCATTACGCACCAAATAAGATTCAATTACGGCCACCCAGACCGAATCATTTAATGGACGTTTATTCAGCTCCGTCAAATAGAGCTAATACTTATCAGCAGATACCACTTCCACATGTAATAGCTCAAGATACAATAGTTCAAGGGCAACCTATGTTGCCATTCGGACTATACAATCCAATGGGGCCTAGGCCTAATGTTGCGTATGTATTACAATTTCAATGTATATCGTATTTTCGATTTAGAGTGCGAAATTCCAAAGTGATTTTTTCGATTATCATTGACAATTAAAAACAATTTGATTCCAAATTCAGAAATTGTTTGAAAATATATTTCTATAAATATGTATCACAATGCATTTAGAATTTTTTCATTCCAATGAAATTATGCGCATGCGGAATATACATATGTATTTATTTGTAAATATTTTACCGAAAACATCTTGAAGTCTACAACTTACAATTTATATCTTAGTTATCAACATCCTGTTCGACCGATGTTTCATAATGCTCCACCTGGTTTCCCACCTATCAGATGTCCACCAGCTGAGATTCATCATGGCAACAGTAATCTTGCTTCAGTTTATCAGGGAGTAGCAGCTAAAGTTGGCACTGGGTAAATATTATTGAAAGAAACGTCCGGAAGAACCACATATATTAATTGTTTGAATGAATTTTTAGTATAATTGAAGATCCACTTGAAACTTTTAACCGACTCATGAAAGAAAAAGAACGCAGAAGAGAAGACCGCCGTCGTTCAATGGAACGTCGCCGGTCTTGGTCTAATGAAAGACACAATCGTGGGCGAGTTCATGCGTCACCATATCGCAGAGTTTCTCGCGAAGTCAATGAGAAACTTAGACCACATGATACAGAGAGAAAACGCGATAACGGATTTGATCGTAATAAGTCAAATAGAAGGAGAAGATCTAACTCGTTTAGTGATAAAAGTTCAAGGTATATTTATATTTATGTAAACAATTTAAATAAATAAAAATTTTTTTTTTTATAATAGGTCAAGATCTTGGTCTAAATCGCCAATAAAAAAACGTTCCAGGTCGCCTTATAATAAACGATCTCGTAGCCGGACTCATGCCTTTCAAGAAAAGTACGTTCAGCTTATATGAGATTTACTGTGTTAATTTTTCAAACAATTCATGAAATTTTGCTTTCAATTTGCAGGCGTGATACCGGAAAGAGTCATAATATAAGGGGAGAGGGATTGCGTTTGGAATCAGCAATGCAAAGGTCCAAATTTCTTAGTGCGCTTAAATTAAATAATACTAAAGTTTTATTTAAATTGACAGGCGCAGCACAAGTGAAGAAAGAATACGTTCATTACGGCAAAACAACTTGGATTGGTATTCTCATCAAGGCAGTACCATTGGCTCGTTTGAATCTGATAGATATGCAGTTTCAAGAAAGGAGAGGTAAAGTATTTGTACTCGAAAATTGCAAATGTAAATAGAACAATTTTTATTACAGATTTAACGAGATTCCGGTTGAAACCCTAGAACCTCCACCTCCTGGTTATGAACTAAATCCATCATCCAATAATTGCTCTTACCAATTTAATCAGCAAGATTATATGAACTCAAGAAAGCGAAAAGATCGCCCTTCAAGTGACACAAAAGAAAAGAAACAATTAGACTTTCGAGGTGCCTCAGATAAAAATGATGTGAAACCTCTAAAGAGAAATACTGAGAAAAAGGTTAGAAGAACTCGCAGTCCTACACCAGTATCTAAGAAAAGGTCCGGTAGTTGTGATAAATTAGAAAAACACAATAGTAAACGCTCTCGAAATAATATTCTTGTTTCTCGAAAAAGTGTTGAACGAAACAAACCCGATGATTATTATAAACGTGAAAGCAGTTCTAACGAAGCAGCAAAGCGCAATAATGAAAAAAATTACGAGAAATGTATGAATTCATCCGATGAAGCAATAGTAAAAGAAATGGCAGTTAACTGTGTAAAGAAAGAAAAACCAGAAACTTTTGATTGCAATAAAAGCCCTGAAAAACAGAAAACTAAACATGGCAGTACCATTAGTAAAGAGGATGAAATACGCTCGAATTCTAGCAAAGATGAGAAAAACTTAAGGAAACCCAAAGATAAAGATCGGAAAAAAAGAAGGAAAGATAAAGAAAGAAAGAAAACTAAGAAAGAAAAAAAAAGTAAAAGAGATCGAGAAAGGCAAAAGACCTCAGCTGAATCTGAGGAACGGTCAAAAGATGTATATATCTCAAGAACGCCGGAGTTAAATAGTTGCCATAACATTCCAAGTGCTGGCGATATAGCTTCAATCGAGGAAAATAATGCGAATGTAAATAGTTCACAATCTATTCGAGATAATGTTGATACAATAAAAAGTAGTGAACAAGAACACCCTCAAGATACGGTTAAAACAGGCTCTAATACTAACGATACTGAATTTAGGCGCGTTGATTCAGTTTTAGATATTCTTGATTATGAGACTGAATTTGACGACTTAAATCCTCAAGGTCAGCAAAAGCTGAAAAATACCGCACCCGTCCCTGAACCTTCAAAATGGGAAATTGATGATAACAATATATGTGTTGCTAGTCAAATAATAAGTTTAGGGCCCATAGATGGCACTGATTACCAGAGTGAGAAGTTATCGAATGAAAAAGTTACTAATGAAGTATTGCGTAAAGCTGAAAATGCTATATTTGCACGTGCTATTAAAGCTATATATCCTTTTGATAAAACTGAAGGAAATAATGATAATCAAAGGGTATACGGTGAAACACTACCAAGAATTGTTCCGAAAGATAAAATTAAAAACTTTGAAATTACTGTACCAACTAGTAATAGTCAAGAACGCTCTGTACAAATAAAAGATGACTCTTCACATTCACCTAAAGTGATTAAGTCTGTAAAAGAAAGATTAGGAAGCAAAGTTACTACGAAATACGACTACTCTCCGGTTCGGGAAAACCGCAACAAGCAGCATATTAAAAGCAATACAATCGGCCAAAGCGTTTATGAAAGGTCGGAAGAACGAAACAGAAATAAATTTAAAGATAGAGGCCGCGATAATCGTGATAATAGGAAGAGCCGTGAAAATCGTGACAGAGGAGGGAATAAGTTTGCAACTTTATCAAGTAGAGATAGAGATCGAGAAAGAAACCGTGATCGTGATAGATTTCATGAAAACAACAAATATCGAATCAAAGAACGTGAGAGAATTCGGGAGCGTGAAAGAGGTACTACTTTAGATAGTCGACACAAATCTCCAAAGCAATCGACTCGTGAAACCGAAGTGACATCAAGAAGTAGACCACGTATTAGAGATAAGGGTGATGATGAAGGATCACATACCACTGCAGGACCTAGGGGTAATGAAAATACAAATAGCAATTCGAAAGATAAAATCAAGTCAAAAAAATTAAGTTTGGAAGATCGGGATACAGCGGCTTGTTCTTCAAACGTAGATGTAATATATAAAAAGAGAAGCCTTTCAAAAGAAAGGAATAAAAGTGAAACCCGCAACATTAAAAAGTATTTCACTGAAACAGAAAATAGATTAAAATCGCATAACTTAAGCCCATGCAGTTCTTCACGGTCTGCTGATACGAGCTCTGATTCCGAATCTGACGAGGATAAACGCAAAAAAAAACCTAAATATAAAAAAGACAAAAAACATCAAAAACGTTCAGAATCAATGGAATCAATTATGAGTTCAAAAGAAAAACATGCGAAGAACAAAAAACGAAATAAATCTTCAAAAAAGAAGAAGAAAAACAAAAAATAGTTTTTCATACTTTATATTTTAAATAAGAATTGGAAATATTTAATGTATAGCTATTATATTAGATTTTGTGTAATATTGAATAAGAATGTAATCACACATACATATGAGTGTATGGCCCAATAAATAATGGATAAACTAATAAATTATAATCGGTCTTTCGATTAACTTTAAGGCGAGCATTTGCTTTTTATCAACTCAATTTGAGTTTTAAATAAGAAAACCGCAATTATAGAAATTAAATATGTATTAATGCAAAATGGCTGAATAGCAAAGTACTCCAAAAGTTCATTCCCGTTGCATCGATTAATTTCTGTTTCATCGACCCTTATTAATGATTCAGCTAAATATGCTTGTGTAAGTAGAAGACGTGCATCTTCTCACGAAGATATTTTTTAATCCATTATCACAATCTTTTTTATGTTTTTCTCATGAATTTCTTCTGTTATAGAGTCATGTTATTAATATATAGTATTAGAGCTTTGAAACAAGGCACAATGGACTTATTTAGATATGAAAGATGGGTTTCAATTAAATATTCGCAAGACTACGGCGGTTCAAAAAAATATACTCCATTTGCCCCACAGCATACATACATATGTATGTACATTACAAAAAGGGATATCTAAACTCCTTTATCGTGTATATGTACATAGAAATTACATATATTTATATACTACATATGTATGTATTTGAAAACCTATTTTTGTTGAGACTACATGACGATATGTCTGAAATGCAAAATAACGTACAATCAAAAAATTCGAAATTGAGTGTCTTATTGATTAAGCTTCACTACTTCAAATTACATATGTTCAACATTTTCAGGTTCTGCGGTCAGATATAAACCAGTTTTACCAATAATAAAATTTTGTTTCACTGATGTTCTATTTTATTTCGTGTTTCATTCATGACACTGGTAAATTTCCGAAAATATTGTTACGTTATTTTGCATTTCAGGTGACGATATATTCAAATCTTAATTATCGAACATACTTGTAATAATTTAAGTCAAAACCTTCTTGAAAAAAGGTTAACGCTGCTATTGAAAATATTGAACTGCAAAACTAATCTCTAACAAATTGATTTGCCATATTGTGTATCCAGCATCATCTTTATCGAGAGTGAGATATCCAACATTAGAGAAAAAGTACTTATTAAAATATTATTTGGTTGTAACAAAGAATTTATTTCATTTTTGTATTTAAATACAAAATATAAATTTTGATTTACATGCTAAAAATAATTATGAATTGATTGATATTGGTAGTTGCCTGGTTTACCAAAATGTTACAAGATTTAAAATATATATGACTTAAGAATATATTGTTATTACTTCGCGACCTCCTCCCCGCACCATTAATACCTTTTCTAGACCCTCGGTAAGTACCTCTAAAAATTCCATATCTGTAAATACAAGAAAGCATAGTAAAACCGTATATAAAATATAGCGTGTATGGGCTGAGCTTTGTACACAGTGTTACGGTAGTGTAAAATTTTGATAATTTGAAAAGGATACAATTGCTTTCACGGTCGATTTTAGATTCCCGCGGAGGTCCAGGTAAATTCATTATGACAAGTTGGGCATCTTGTGATTTATTTACAATAACCTCGTTTAGCTTAACTGCCGTGTGCATTCGGCGAACATTAATTTCATCACTAAGAAAATATTAAGAAATTAATATGCATTCTAATATTCATGAGAATAAATTAGTGACCATATATTAGTAAAAAAATAATGTATTTCAATATTTAAAACATATCAATGAAGARACAATTGTTGAATACTTTTCAAAACATTAAATAGTAAGTAAGGAAGGGCTAAGTTCGGGTATAACCGAACATTTTATACTCTTGCAACTGTATGGATCATAGTCGGCTAAATACCTCAAAATGTTGGCAATATTAGAAAATGTAGAGAAAGGCTTCTACTTTATTGTTCGAAGAAATCGTGAAAGGATACAATGAAAGCGAAAATTCTACTAAGTTCTAAAATCGATTTTAACCACATATTCGGTATCAAGGGGCTTCAGCAGATTTTGTTCGATTTGGAAAATTTTCGGTCATAAGATGTCAAAATTTTATTTAAATTAGTTAATAATATGTATACTGGATATACCACTTTTAGTGGGTTTTAAGAAACCCGTTATATGAGAAGTTGGCTGCGTTATCATTTGAGTTCGCTAATTTTCGCACTATCGTTTGGCAGAGTTATGAAGATTTGTGTTAATTTGGGTGAAACAGCTTTATTTGTTTGGAAGATATATATATTAAACTAATAAGGGTCGGGACCCCGCACACTTTTACAGATTTTTAAACTGCATGTGCTCCTCCTTATTGTGATTGAGTTATTTGTTTCAATTTACCACTTAATTATGACACTTTATAAGTCTTTAATTAATGGCGTTTTATGATCGTGGCAGTGGCCCGATTACGTGCATCTGCAATATCAAACTACTTATGGTGCTAATGAACCTGCCTATCAAGCTTCATTAAGATATCTTTAATTTTAATCAAGTTAAAATTTATATGGACGGACGGAAAGAAGTAACCAAGATTTCAACTCTGCTCGTCAACCCAATCATTTATATATCTATCTTGATTAGGTTTAGGTAATACAAACTCAGTTGCAAGAGTATAAAAAGAGCGACATTATACGTACGGTTTCAAGGTTGTGTTCGAATTTCCGCCTAAAATATTTTTTTCAGGCTTTTCGTCTTCACTTTGTCCTTTTTCTACAGTATGTAGTGTGGATCCATTATCCAATTTTGCATCTAGTGAGTCGGTTTCAGCCTCTTTTGACTTAGCTTTTTCATCCCCATCGGCCTCCTGTTAAATAAACAGAATTTCAGAAACCTCAACAATAAATATTATCTAAGATATAGGTTAAATCTAAGAATTTTAAACATACAACATTATTATGCATTACTATGACTCTACGGTATAAGAAACTTTGAATTTTCTACAGTGAACGAAAGTGTTAATATGAAAAATGAAATTGAATTTATGTAGTATTTTTTTCTAATAATTCTAATTCTAACTGTATACTGCTATATTACTATAGAACCTGTTTATTCTTACTTCTTATATTCTTACGTTTTGTAATCGTTAATGTGAAAATAATTTATTTATGTTTTTCTCAAGTCTTGTTAAAATTTTGATGATTTTGAAATTTTTACAGTTTTCTCTTTAATACTCTCTGAATAAATAATCATCAGCTAAGACCGAATGCAAATCATAATAGAAATGGACTTGCGATACCTTATTAGACTTATATTATAGTAAAATTCGTGCAAATATGTTTTCTATTGTACACTACATGTATTTAATAATTAAATTTTGGTAAGGCATGCTGAACGCAGGGACTAAATTGATTTTATTGCGCTTGACTTTTTCTGTAAAGAAGTCAAAATTTTACATATCGTCACCTAAAATGCAAAATAACGTATCATCAAAAAATTCGAAATTGAGTATTCTATTGATTACGATTCACTACTTCAAATTCCATACATAATATTACATGTATGTCCAACATTTTCAGGTTCTGCGCTCATATATTACCCAGTTTTAACCAATATTAACATTTTTTTCACTCTTGTTCCATTTTATTTCGTGTTTCATTCACGGCACTGCAAATTTTCGAAAATGTTGTTACTTTATTTTGCATTTTAGGTGATGATATGATTTTACTATTATAAATAAACGTAACGGATAATTATGTGTTAATGGACATGCCAAATAGATGAAAATGGTAAAGTGTTCTACGCTTACGTTTTCATGTTTTTCTTCTACATTAACGGTTGGATCTGCAAACCGAACTTTTGAAGAGGTCTTCGTTGCATCATGATGATGATCAACAATTGTCTGAACCTGCAATGTATCATGAATTGAAACCAGAGTTATTTATTCGAAAATTTTAATTTTAATTTGGCTATGCCAAACAATTTACCCCCTTCACGCTATCGCATTTGCATTTCATTATTGTACATTTTAGCGTGATGGGTGTACGAAAAATAAAAAAGATCGTTAATTAACAAGAAAAACTTTATTAAGAAACAATACTAAGAAGGGACAGAAAGACTATATAAAATATACATTACTGCTATAAACTTAAATGTACCATATATGTACATACGTATATGTATCATAGATGCAACGTATTTCACTTATGGCTTTTAGAGAGTTTTTCTTGTTATTCATCGACATAAATGTGGTATGAGCTAAAACTAAGATGAATATTATGTGTTTTTTGGCTTAAGAGGGGGTTTGTGTAAGGATTTAAACATTTTTTCTTATTTTTTTGAGTTTTTGTTTTTTTATTTGAATTTATAATATCTTAAGTATTTTCACCAAGTCAAGGGAAGAAGAATCGAAGAAGTTACGATAATTTTTATACTTGTCTTATGCACTTTTATAGCAGATTCTTTATTGTACAAAACTTTAAGACGTTTTCCCAACAAGTTACGATTTCATAACTTCAAAACAAATCCACCGACCCCATAGACGTTTTGAACACAATTTTACGTCATGTGGAACGTAACGCCGGAAAGTTATTTCTAAATTTATTGACACTTTTTATTTTAAAATAACAAATTAAAGTATGAAATTGAAAGCACCAGCACCAAGTTATGAGAAGCAACGGAGAGACTTTAAATGTGTTCTAACAAAAAGTTCACAAAACTATGCGGATTTTGTACAAATTAACTTTACGCCCAATTCAACACATAATAATTTTATAATTTTCAAGTGGTAGGCTGTAGAAGCATTGATTTGGTTCATATTATATAATTTTTGTGAGTTAGTATTATGTTCTGATAATCCTCTAAGTGAACAAGCAGGAAAATAGGTATGTAGCGGACATTTTTCGTAATTTGAAGAGGAAGTACATATATACAATGCGTGAAACACATGTGTGTTTCATATACTATATATATTCATATCATGAGGCCATACACAGTGAAGATATTTTCACGATAATCAAAAACAGAGAAGCATAATGAATACAATTAAAAAATTGTAGTTTTTGAAATTTCTTAGGTATACATATATACATACATATGTATTGGTTGTGTTTTTTTGGATGCGGACAGTTCATTTAATTGATATTGTTGGAATATTTCGAAAGTATTCCCTATAATCATTAATGTACTTATGTGTGTATTTTAGTAATAATGTGAAATGAATGATGAAGGAAAATATAATGACATTTTCAAATACTTTAGGTTATTTTCGGCCTTTACCAAAGGTAACTTATCATCCCCGGTGGCTTCCTTAAAATCCACTAGAGTCTGTACCTTTTTTTTAAACAGACAATATGTGAAACGTATTCAAGAATTTAGAAAGTTTTTGGATTAAACAAATGTCCACGTTCCTTTTTTTAAATGTTGTACTTACTATTTTAGAGTTTTCTTTTTTATTCAAACGCAGTTCCCTCAACATTTGGTTTCTCTGTTCCATCATCAATGTTCTCTCATATGTATAGGCAGATATATCACTGTTCATCTAATCAAAAATTGGATTAACAAAAACAAAAAAAAATACACGGATAATTAACAGCAATAAAAAATTCACTTGGATGGGCTTACCATTTCCACAACCTCCACGTCGGCCTCAATTCGTAAGTGATATAGAAATGTTTTTAAGTCTTTTTTCATCTGAATTGAATTATCCTCCATTTGTGCGACTGTAAAAATTCTCAATTTGCAGTTTCTCCAAGTACGATGCTGTTTCAACAGAAAAGGTAATAACATAAGGAGACCTCCATCATGTACAATCCACCAAATGTCGATATTGCCTCCAATCTAACAAATATAAAATTTTAGTTCTTACAATATGGAATTATAATTCTGAATTGTTACAAATATGTATGTATATCGGAATGGACCGTTTAAACTAAAGATATTTATGTTAATTAACTATTTA